CCCCTGATGTTTATACAGTGCTCTCTGATTGTGCCTATGACACCTCTGCTCTTCACAGGTTCAATCTTGCATTTTCTTCCATATCGTTCACTCCAGTACGTTGTTATTTTACTGTGTAGATTTGGGACCTGACCCTCCAGTATTTTCCAGGTGTATATTATTTGGTATCTCTCTCGTCTCCTTTCTAGAGAGTACATTTGGAGAGCTTTGAGACGATCCCAATAATTTAGGTGTTTTATCTCGTCTATGCGTGCCGTATATGTTCTCTGTATTCCCTCTATTTCAGCAATCTCTCCTGCTCTGAAGGGGGAAGTGAGTACTGAGCAGTACTCGAGACGGGACAGCACAAGTGACTTGAAGAGTACAACCATTGTGATGGGATCCCTGGATTTGAAAGTTCTCGTAATCCATCCGATCATTTTTCTGGCTGACGCGATATTTGCTTGGTTATGCTCCCTAAACGTTAGATCGTCGGACATCATTATTCCCAAATCCTTGACATGCTGTTTTCCTACTATGGGAAGATTCGATTGTGTTTTGTACCCTGTATTATGTTTCAGATCCTCATTTTTGCCGTACCTGAGTACCTGAAATTTATCACTGTTAAACATCATGTTATTTTCTGCTGCCCAATCAAAAACTTTGTTGACATCTGCTTGTAGTTTTTCAATGTCTTCAGCAGAGGTAATTTTCATGCTGATTTTTGTGTCATCTGCAAAGGACGACACGAAGCTGTGGCGTGTATTTTTGTCTATATCAGATATGAGAATAAGGAACAGTAGCGGTGCAAGGACTGTACCTTGAGGTACAGAGCTTTTAACATCGCTTGGACTCGATTTTATCTGATTGACTGTTACTCTTTGTGTTCTGTTCGACAGGAAATTGAGTATCCAGCGTCCTACTTTTCCAGTTATTCCCATTGACCTCATTTTGTGAGCTATCACCCCATGGTCACATTTGTCGAACGCCTTTGCAAAGTCTGTGTATACAACATCTGCATTTTGCTTTTCTTCTAGGGCTTCTGTGATTTTGTCATAGTGGTTGAGTAACTGTGACAGACAGGATCTTCCCGCTCTAAATCCATGTTGTCCTGGATTGTGCAATTCATTGTTTTCCATAAAACTAGAAATTTGATTCCTAATCACTCTTTCAAACACTTTTATTATGTGTGATGTTAGTGCAACTGGCCTATAATTTTTTGCCAAGGCTTTACTCCCCCCCTTGTGCAACGGAGCTATATCTGCAGATTTAAGTGCTGCTGGTATCTCCCCGGTATCCAGGCTCTTTCTCCATATTACGCTGAGTGCTCTCGCTACTGGTACTTTACATTTCTTTATGAATATTGAATTCCATGAGTCAGGCCCAGGAGCTGAGTGCATAGGCATATTATCAATTTCTCTTTCAAAGTCTTCCGAGTTTGTGGTAATATCCGTTATATTATCTGCAGCTTGAATGTCATTCATAAAGAAGCTGTCTGGGTCATCAACTTTCATGTTGTTTATTGGTGTGCTAAACATAGCCTCATACTGGCTTCTTAGAATTTCACTAATCTCTTTGGTGTCCTCTGTGTACGTACCTTCATTTGTAATTAACGGTCCAATACTGGTCGAGGTTTTGGATTTTGATTTTGCGTATGTGAAAAAATATTTCGGATTTTTCCTTATCTCTTGTATAGCTTTCTGTTCCAATTCCATTTCCTCAGACTCATATGATCGCTTCAACGTTTGTTCTATTTCCTCAATTTCCCTGCTTAGGCTGTTTTCCTTGCTTGTGATAGTTGTGTCTGCCGAAGCATTTCCGTTATTTTTTTCCTTCTCCTGTACAGTCGTCTCCGTTCTCTTTCTAGAGTGGTCCTCTTTCTGCCCCTCCTCACAGGTACGTGCTTCAAGCAGACCTTGTAAGCTTCAGCTGTCAGTTGAGCTATTCCCTGTGTGGGAGTTTTGTCGCTTAAGACCGTCTCCCATTGAATGGTTGCAAGGTCTACATTTATTTTTTCCCAGTCAATCCTCTTATTGTTGAAATTGAATTGATTGAATATTCCTTCTCGCTTGTTAGGTCTCTTAGACCTACTACCGTTATTTATGCTAGTTCGCACTTCAATGAGCTTATGGTCTGAGTATGAAGTATCTGAGATTGTGATATCCCTGATTAGTTCATCATTGTTTGTGAATAACAAGTCTAGTGTGTTTTCGTTCCTAGTTGGTTCTGTAATCTGTTGATTGAGCGAGAATTTGTCACAGAATCTCAAAAGTTCTCTAACCTGTGGTTGGTTATTTCCCGGGTCATTCCCTGCTATGATATTTGTGTTTGCCGTTCTCCATCTTAGACTCGGTAAATTGAAATCTCCAGAAAGATAATATCTGGAGCTGGGTTTGCTAGGTTGTCAAGTATGTTCTCTATTTTGTGCATCTGTTCTGTGAATTCCTCAATCGTTGTATCTGGCGGTTTATATATTAGAATAATAATTAGGTTTAGTTTCTCTACCTTCATTCCAAGTACCTCTACCACCTCATTAGTTGAATTTAATAGTTCTGTGCATACCAGGTCTTCTTTAATATACAGACCTACTCCTCCATTTGACCTAGTTTTTCTATCACATCTATATAGATTATAATTTGGAATCCAGATTTCACCATCCATGTAATCTTTTGTATGAGTTTCCGTGAATGCCCCAAATATTGAGTTTGACTCTAATAGAAGGCCATTTATGAACTTAACTTTATTTCTTGACTTTGGCTTTAAACCTTGAATGTTTGCAAATATGAATGATTGTCCATATTGTGTGTCACTTCTGGAAGGTTTTGGTGGTTCTCCCTCCTCTCTACCCTGACCCAGGGTGTGTTGTTGTGGCAATGGTTTGTCCAGTTTTGGAAGTGATACTGGGGAGTGTGGTAGTCTCTGTGTAGTTGGGGGGTGTAGTATGTGTGGGCTTGATGACGAACTGTAGTCCAGTCTTGGGCATTTCCCCTCTCCATCCGTACTCCTGCCACGTTTCTGCCTGTCTGTTTCTCCCTCTGTTTGTACCTGCCTCTAAAAAATTTTCAGGGCTATTATGTTGGACTTCTTCTCTTATATGGCGCTGTGTACCTCTGACGTGGAAATCGGGGCAGTGAAGATCGTAGCATTTCCTCTCATTGACTGAGAGTGTGCATAGCTTAGGGTGAAAATATCTACACTCTGTATCAAAACGACATCTGCCTTTCCCTAACCAGTTTCGGCATTTCCGTGGGTGCATGAATGAGCATTCCGTGCCTCTGGGCCCATATCTACACTGTCCTTTTGCATAATACCAGCAAATATTTTCATTTGTGATTGTATTATTCTTGTTTGTACCCGTGCACGACTTGGCTACCTCTGTGTTTTTTGTTCCAACTTTCTCGTTTCTGCATTCATTCTCGGTATTGCCCTTATCTTTCTCCTTGTTGCTTTCGTCTTTCTCATTTGTGTTCTCATTCGTCTCATTTTTTCTCTCCTTATTCATATCACCAGTGTGCTCTACAATATTGCCTTCATTTTTGTGTACCTCGACACTATACCCGTCTACATTGCTACTTTGACTCTCTAACTTCTCAGTCCCTGGGTTGTGTTCAGAGTTCGTTGCTGTCTTTATATACTCTGCATATATTTCTGGTAGTTTTTGTGTGAATTGTAGCCTGTGTACTTCAGGAATGTTATTCATTAGTTTGGTGATGTTTTCCCACAACTGTCTGTCTCTTTGACAGATCCAGTAGTTACCTTCCCGGTTTGCATATTGTGTAGGTAATCCTGTACAACTCAGGTGAAACCTTATGTTGCATACAACATACAACTCAAGCACCCATACAAACACACTCTCAGCAACACACAACTCAAGCACCCATACAAACACACACTAGACAACATACAACTCAAGCACCCATACAAACACACTCTCAGCAACACACAACTCAAGCACCCATACAAACACACTCTCAGCAACACACAACTCAAGCATCCATACAAACACACACTAGACAACATACAACTCAAGCACCCATACAAACACACTCTCAGCAACACACAACTCAAGCACCCATACAAACACACACTAGACAACACACAACTCAAGCATCCATACAAACACACACTAGACAACATACAACTCAAGCACCCATACAAACACACACTAGACAACATACAACTCAAGCACCCATACAAACACACACTAGACAACACACAACTCAAGCACCCATACAAACACACACTAGACAACATACAACTCAAGCACCCATACAAACACACACTCAGCAACATACAACTCAAGCACCCATACAAACACACACTAGACAACATACAACTCAAGCACCCATACAAACACACACTAGACAACATACAACTCAAGCACCCATACAAACACACACTCGACAACATACAACTCAAGCATCTTTATCCATACAAACACACTTTTACAAACACAATAGACAACATTATCATACAAAAATACTTGTAGAAGAGTAGAACTTCTAACCTTCACATTAATATGACCAAACTACCGGTAACATTCCAACCCCCACAAAACATGAGCGTTCGTTGCATTTTGTTTATGCACACACATTAAAATCAATGAATCTTGACTTTACGACAATTATTCTTTGGTGTTTAGGGAACCACAACAGAAGGGAAGTGATCACTGGCAGGCTCACTTCCACAAAGGTTAACAACCCGTTCTAAAATATTGTTCATTGACACAGTGTTCTCTTTATGTTATTCTTCACTAAACAATTTTTGTAATGTAATTTATTAACAAATTAATGTTAATTACTATTGCATTGAGGAATATTTGATTTATAAAAAAGGAAGCAGTCAACGTGACAACAATCCAAACTCGACCACAGACACTCACAATTAATCTATTGAGAAAACAGCACGCTGACTGCAGACATTCATTACTACACTATATACCAACAGTAAGCTCTGGTACTTTGTCAACTAGAAAAACAAAGGAAAAGTCTAGACACCACTTCTGAACGAATTCAACTAACCTCATAATCGGCTTCAAAAGTGTCAATGATACAGGTGAGGTTTATTTTGGTAGTGATGCTTTCAGGTAAGGGTGCATGGTAGAGAAGATTATCTCGACAGTCCTGGTGTGTGGTAATTATCAGGTGGCGCCCACAGTCTGACACCTCTGCACCTCTAGTGGATAAGAGATACAGAGGAGAACAGTATACGTGTTAGCATCAAGAAATTGAAACACAGACCAGGATACACCTTACAAGACAAAACATTCAACAACAAAACACCAGCGCTGAATGTAATGAAATGCCAGTTTCTGGGTGAGCCGTGAAGGCTACCTTACCCTATCACACTGAACAAGTACAATAAAACTTGGCGTCATCAGTCGCCGAGGTCTTTTTGCCTAATGGAGACCACGAGCTAGAACCTGGTGCAGTGAAAGAGGCTGAGGGAAGCAGTCATCGTGAGAACAAACCCTTCATGCAAACTGCACCTACTGTCAAGAAGAAGAAGAAGAGGCACAGGGAGTGATGGCACATGAAAGCTGCGGATCTAAGGGAGGGTGTCAGGGAGCCTCCGGGGCTCACCCAGAAACTAGCATTTCATTACATTCAATGCTAGTTTTCTGAGGGAAGCTCTGTCAGCTCCCTGAAGATAACTACTCACCGAGAAGGATAAAATAGGGAAACTTACTTTAGAGGCAGAAGCACCGCTGGTATAAAGTCAAAGATAAGGCTGACGGCTCCAGGCCAATACAAGGCCGCAGAGGACCAGGTACGTTCACAAGATAACTGGCAGCCAAGACCCTTGTTAGATCTCCAAAACCCCAAGGCCCAAATATTGGCCCAAGATGTTAACTAAACCGGATGACAAAGTGGTGTATGTACTTCTAAACATCATGAGCGTGAGGGAAGATTGCAGGCTGGCTAGCTTTGATGACACTGTAGATAACATGAGACACCATGAGCCCTGGAACAGGGAACCAGGAAAACCGGATCATACCACAGTGAATCCACTGAAAACAGAACTGGTGGCTCGCAGGTTCAAGTGGGTCCAGTGACGGCACAAAGCTGCCACTGGACACAGCGCATGATGCACGCCCGCTGAACCAACCAAGCATTCACAACCAAAAGGATCCCTTCAGAAGCACATCGTCTTATTCTTGCCAGAAAAGAAGAACCATGTTGCAACCAAACAAAACGACCACCAGGATCAAGGGAACAAAAACCCAGGCACTGGAGCAGAGCATGAAGCTCACTTGCACACGGAAATAACACCACATGAGACCAGGAGGCATGGCAGGATGTGCACGTCAGGCTGCAAGCAGCCGCATCCAACAGCCTGGTTGACTGGTCCAGCAACGAGGAGGCCTGGTCGACAACCGAGCCGCGGGGACACTAAGCCCCAAAACATTTCAAGGTAACCTACCCAACCACTGGAGGTCAAGAAAGCAATAACAAAGCCTTCCAAAAGCAATCCCAGACCAAAGGGGCCACCATAAACCAAGTAGAAGAGAGAAAAGAAGGATGAGAACGATGAAGGAAAATGATGAGTGGAAAGAAAATGGCAAAAAACCAGCGTTGAATGTAATGAAACGCCATTTTCTGGGTGAGCCCCGGAGGCTCCCTGGAGCTTATCGGGCTAATGTATATTATATTAGACCGGGACATTAGCAAAGGAGTTCAGACCTACCAGGGACCAGCGCCAGAACCTGGCCCCTTCAGAGAGGTTTCAGGGAGCAATGGCCCTGGAAAACCCCTTGTGGTTGGGGTTTTCCTTATCTGCCATCGACCGGGGTTAGGCACCCAGAAAGGTAGGCATAACAAAACAAACCCCACATGGTAAAAAACTAAAACAAAAAAGTGAACAGAGAGGTAGAAACTCCCTACAATCCCAAGGAAACAAGCAAATAAGCAAACATCACACTTTACTGCCGCGCCGATCGTCCGCGCAGCCCTCCCCGCCCCGAGAGGGGGAGGGGGGAGCCCCGGACCTCACCGCGCCGGCTGCCTAGCATCAGTTCAGAAGCTAAGCTTCAACCAACGCAAAAAAAACGCCGACCGGTGGGAGGGAGGGTTGCCAGGGAGCCTCTGGGGCTCACCCAGAAAATGGCGTTTCATTACATTCAACGCTGGTTTTCTGTGGGGAGCCCCTATGGCTCCCTGGAGCTTCATACCCAAAGAGAAGGAAAAGAAAGGGCTGACCCGAGAGGCGGCCGCCACAAACTCCGCAACGCGAAGCTGAGACAACAGGCTGCAACCTGCGACCCAAGGCAACAAGAACGCACAGGAGCAGACGCGCATAAAGAATGGGCGGCCAAGAACCTGTGTCCCTCAAGTCCCTGCGCCCGAAATGAGTCCTAGACGTCACTAACACAGCAGCAAAAGCTGCAAACATCTGAACAGCACGGCGCAAAGACAGACCGCAGGCTGGAAGACTTAAAAACTCTGCAAACGACCTGGGAGACTCCGAGCCCTGATACAGGGAACAAGGGAAACCTGATCAACCCAAAGCGCATCCCCAGACACGGTACGCAGGTAACGGCAAAAAAGCGCAACCGGACACCACAGGACGCACCCCCGGCTGAACCAATCAAGCATCAATAACCCAAGAATCCCTCCAGAAAGCAGCCGTCTCGACCGTTGCCAGAAGGATGGAAAAAGGCTGCTAATGTACAAACCTACCACCAGTACCAAAGAGCAGAAACCTGAACCAAAGCGGCTACCACAAACTGAGGAGAAGATAAGAAGGCACCCTGATCAAGGACCAGGACAGCTCAGGCGACACATTAGCAGGCCGGAGGTGAAACAAAACACGAAAAAGCGTACGAAATGGGGCAGATGTGACGTCCACCCCGAACGCAAGCCGAAGCGGCTCCCCCAGCGCCGCACAAAACGACAGCCTACGAAGAGCAAGAAAAAGTGCATAGAAACACCAGGAACGTCATACTGTCGCTTAGACGAAGCTCGCAGGTGGGACACGGTCAACAAAGCCACCTGATCACCACAGAGATGGTGATACCCACATCAAAATACCATATGCGAAGAGCCGAGGAGACGGCCGAACCAGTCACGTACAAGACCGGTCCGACCTGCTGAAAGAGGCGGAGCCGCAGGAAAACGTCCCGGGTTCGGACACCTATCAAGCAGCGTCTGAAAATAAAGCTGGGCCGGCCACCAAGGGACCATAAGGACTACTCTCGTGGGAATGGACTTCAATCGAGCCAGAACCCGAAGCAACAGCTAGACCGGGAGAAGAGGAACAGGTACCCCCACTTCAACTAGTCCTGCCGAAAAGCATCCACCGTGAACGCCTCGCAGGCGGGTAAGGGCGCCACATAGAATGGGCGACACCTAGATCACGCCGACTCGAAGACGTCCATGGCCAGGAGTCCATACATTCGGCAGAGCCAACGAAACGAGTCAGCGACGACTGGCCAATCCGCAAACAGAGGAATGAACTGAGGCAGGTGTCCGCCAGGACGCAGGACACACCCCGGACATGAACCTCACGGTTAGTCAAACCCCGAGAATCCAGCAAACTTTGGGGTTGGTCCCTCTAAGGGACCAACCCCAAAGGTCAAACACCTAAGAAAAACCCTGTGGTTCTGGCAAAGAACTGCCAGAGAACAGTCCGAATGGAGCTGAAAGGCAGAGCACCGAGTGACCCAAACCCTCCGAAGCGCAAACCAGACAGCCACGAACTCCCGAACCGTGCTGTGAGCCTGATGGACGGACAGACCCCACCATCCCCGGTCGATCTGGTGAGCACTGGTCACAAAGCCCCAGCCGAGAGATGACCTGTCCGTGAACACATCGAGCGAAGGCTCGGGGAGGTGCCAAGGCACGGAACCCCGAAAACCCCAAAGAGGAAGCTGGTGACGCAGTACCAATACAAGATCCCCAGAGGAATGAACCCAATGACTGCATGAGAGGCGAAAGGGGGAGTCTCCGAAGGAACCAAACAGACGCCGAAGCCAAACCCGACCCTGCGGGCAGACCAGCACGTCGAAGTTCAGACTCCCGCACAACTGCTCGAGCAACCGCCGAGCAACCTGGGACCCCCTCATGAACAGCCGAAGGCAGGACCACAGCCACAGCAACACTTCTGGAGGGAAAGACAAGGAGCGGCTGAAGAGCCCTAAACAAGACCCAGCCAGGTCCAAACCCAGGACGGAAACAGATGGAACGGCCTCCAGATCACCAGGAAACCAAACCCGGTGATCTGGAAAGAACCACACCCCTGGCGAGCAGACAAGCGGACCGACTGGGAGCCCACACCAGCCAGTCGTCGAGGTAGGCCAGACACCGAATCCCAAGCAGACTCAGACAGGGCACCAAGATCCGGTAAAGATGCGTAAATACACCAAGTGCCAATTACAAAATAGGGAAGGCAACAAAAGCGGCAAGCCTGAAGCCCCACTACCAACTGTGCCAGTTCCGGAAAACTGGAGAGGAATGTGCCAAGAATTGACCTGGAGGTCCAGGGCCACTATCCAGGCACCCGGCCCCAACAGAAGCCGGACAGGAGACAACAGTCCTCCGATGAGGGCATAGAATCCAGGGCGCAGACTGAAGAAGTCCAGAAGAACCGCAGAGTCGCCAGGCTCGTGTCTGCATAGAGCAGACGGGAACCCCAGAAGGATGGAGCGGATCAACCACGTCCAACGCACCCACTAAGATGACACTACGAAGCGCAGGGGAAGAAGGCCACCTCCCCAGCCCTGAACCCCCCAAAGGGGGAGAAGCCATCTGCCGCCGCCACCTGAGGCCGGAAGACAACCAAAAGCCCCCACCAACAGCGGGACCATGCGAGAGTCAACAGAGCAAGCTGCTCCCGCAGCGCCCTGTCAACAGAGAAGGGAACAGAGCCCCTTCCGAAAGAAAATGTATACATACACACATATATATTATGTATATACACATACATACATACATATACACATACATATATAAATACAAGCACACACAAGGTGCATTACACACACGTACGTATGCACATACACATGTGCACACACACACAGTGTACACATGTACATTTGTTCCCACACACATACACATGAAAAGAAAATTACAAGGCGCCGACCAGTGGGCAGAGAGCACCACGCCGGCCAGGCAAAGAAGGCACAAAACTGCATCAAAAGGCCCACCTCGACAACAAAACCCCAAAGTTCCAGCACGACCACAACATGTGCCAAGACCCAAAATGATCAGTCTGCAAGCCAGGAAGACCCCGGAACCTCAGAAGGCAGAACCGGATCACACACGAGGAAACAAAGCCCCCTGAATCCACAAAGGGGGCCCAAGAGGAAGAAACCTCCGGAACGAAACCAAAGGACCCAAAGGAACTCGGAATCGAACCAGGGGAACCTAAACCGCCACATTTGCTGGCGGAGATACACCACAGAAAGGCAAAGCACAGCCCCCAGACAGAACCCCCAGGGAAACGGTCAAAACAGACCGAAAACCGAGGGACAAGGTGTGGGAGCAAGCATAACAGACAGGGACACTGAGCCCGAACCCTAGTGCCCAGACCCAAAACAGACAAAACGGAAAACCCTGTGTAAAATACACACTCAAACATTCCCAGAGGAACAGAAAACGAGCAGATAACACCAGAAAAGCAAAGAAACGACAACAGGAGAATAAAAAATCCCTGAAAAAGGTGAAAAAACTCGCCCAAAATGCTCGCTCGCACACCAAGACGCGTGTAAACAAACCGCAACGCCACCCTGGTGGCCACGCCGGGAAACAGGCAGAAGAAAATGGCCACCAGAACAGAGGGCTGTGACCGACGCAAAAGATACGAAAACACGCCAGCAAAAGTGGGAAGCAAGCAGACTGGATGGGTGAAAAACTCCGCCCTGAAGCAGAAAATCCAGGCAGGGGCAAGCCGCCCCAGAAATGCTAGCAGGCATCCCCCATAGCCCCGGGAACCCGCAACAGAGGCCCAGGGGCAGAGCCATCCTCCAAGCCCTCTGCCCTTAAAAAAAGGAAGAGTCCATGGTAAAGGCAGCAAGAAAGGGCCGCTGGTAAGACCCAGAAAGCCTTGGCAGGAGGAACAGGCCCGAAAACCTCTGTCCCCAACCTGAACGGGGCAGCCCCCGAAACCGCCTGAGTCTCGGCCCCAACCCCGAAACCCACAGACGGCCCGGAGCCGGGAACAGGGAGGGAAAGGGCGAACAGCAACTAACCAAAACAGGGCGGCCCCGGGGCATCCGAGTGGGAAACCAACCTAGCGTGTTGCAGCAACCTAACCTAGCTTGTAACATGGATGCCGCCTGTACTCTGAACAGTAATAACATCAGGAGAGTACTGGAGAACAAGCAGAGAATCTCTCGCAAGACTCCAGGTCAAGGTGTCAGTGACCCAACAAGCAACATGACGGAGGTAAAAGTGGCGACTGTCACCCGGAGACAAGGGTACAGCAACCAACTATCCCGTACAAGACGGGTTGGAACCCGGAAGACACATTCAATGGTCCACCGAGCCCCGACAGGGGTTTCCAGGGCCCGTAGGGGTAACAACTACGGGAAGCCCGGGCAAGGTGTTGCTAACCGGTTAAACACCAAAAATAACAAGGGGTAGAGGACAACACTGAAAGCCCCCTGCGACGTGTACAATCACAGGGGCCTAGCAGAGGGCCGCCAAACATTACCAATGGAACTATAGTCACACTAGGCAGACCCCCACCAGGCAAATGAAAATAAAAACAAAAGAAAACCCCCGCAAAAGTACACAGTCTCCAGAGGCAACAGGAACCGGTCGCCGCTTAGGTGGCAGGCTGCGCAACACCTTGACGCCCTAACCAGCACAATACCAGTCCCTACCCAGGGCCAAACAAGGGCCCCAAGCCCCAGCTGGCCCCAAGGGCGAGGCAAATGCCGAGCAGCAAGAACCTCTACGGGAATGGTTCCCGAACGCCCCAGGGAAGATAACCCTGTCACGCAGGGGCAGTACTCACAGGGCGCTTAGGGAAGGAAGCCCCTAAGCGCATGCAGCCCTGGTACTGATGAGGAACACCTGGCCACCGCACAACACAACACACGGCAGTGAACGCCACACAAGGCAAACACCGCCTAGGAAACTGAGGCCAGAGAAGCGTCTATCCCGGTTGACATTAGCTTACGAACTGATGCTAGGCAGCCGGCGCAGTGAGGTCCGGGGCTCCCCCCTCCCCCTCTCGGGGCGGGGAGGGCTGCGCAGACGATCGGCGCGGCAGTAAAGTGTGATGTTTGCTTGCTTGCTTGCTTGTTTCCTTGGGATTGTAGGGAGTTTCTACCTCTCTGTTCATTTTTTTGTTTTAGTTTTTTACCATGTGGGGTTTGTTTTGTTATGCCTACCTTTCTGGGTGCCTAACCCCGGTCGATGGCAGATAAGGAAAACCCCAACCACAAGGGGGTTTTCCAGGGCCATTGCTCCCTGAAACCTCTCTGAAGGGGCCAGGTTCTGGCGCTGGTCCCTGGTAGGTCTGAACTCCTTAGCTAATGTCCCGGTCTAATATAACATACATTAGCCCGATAAGCTCCAGGGAGCCGTAGGGGCTCCCCACAGAAAATTACCATGCTGTAACCATAAGGCACCCCTCCCCAACTCCAGGAGATACATATTAATAAAATGTTACTTATATTATACACAACATCATACATCATACATTAGCACCTTAACACTTTTATTGCCTGGCCTCTCTGAGCGTTAGTGAGAGTAAACATTCTGGGTTTCCGCACCACTCATGGGCCACTTGGGGATGTAAATTATCTTTTTTTTAAACTACTTCATGTTTTCTCAGTTGTTTATAGCTATAAATTGGGTGTCAAAATGTTTGCAAATAAATTGTCTAAAGAATACACGCAAAAACAAAAGTAGTCCTCTTCACATATTTCCCCAATGAAAATATAGGGCACTTGGCAGCTCAACAATGCATAAAAATATTTACAATCACTTCAACTTTTTTTGGTTATTAGTTGGGTTATAACCATAAATTTGGCATCAATATGTTGCCAAGTGAATACTATTAAAGAACAGATGCAAAAAATGAGTGTGCATTTATAATAAATTATGCACGACAGCAATGAATATACAGTGGAACCTCGAGTGACGAGCGACTACAGTTACAAGCATTTCGAGTAACGAGCGAGCCACTCGCAGAAAATTTGTCTCGATTGACGAGCTTTCGCTCGATTAACGAGCAAAGTTCAAGGTGCTTCCTACCATTCCCGCTGGTTCTCGGACTCCTCCAATGACAGTGTTATTATTGTAGTTTCACATGACAAGCTCGGTGCCAGAACGGATTAAATTCATTAATCGAGTCGCCACTGTATAAATGTTTTGTGAATAGCAATCGAGTGTTAATTAGCATATACTGTACATTATAAGTACAATTGCCCTGGCAAGACTAACAGTGATAACCTCTGATTACTTAAAATGATTTCCTCACACCCTTACACTAAGGAGAGCTTGAAACCAGTGGAACTATGCAGACTCTTACACACGAAGATTGTTTCAGCACCACTACATGATAGCAAATAGTTGCAATGTGGCATTAACACTCTGGCTTCATGACAACATTCTCAAAGTCATTAAAACAATACACATAGTGTGCGACATGACGTGAACGGCGTCAATCATTAAAATACTGTATTTGTAAAAATTCCATTTATTATCCGATAATTATGGGACTTGTTTTAAAATGTGCTCCGACACCTTCCCATTCTATATATACCCCATGTGGCATCACTACACTGCTGCGTGGGTGACTAGCCACCCACCCTACCCTCGAGTTGAAACATGTGCCCATTCCGGTTGTTTTACCTCGGGTATTTTTGGGTACTGACTTTATATATAAACACGAAGCAACACAAAAACGAATGATATAGTGTAACAAATAATGTTGGGAATGAATAGAGACTGTAAACAATGATGAAAAGCACAATTTTTCACATGACTATGTACTTATCTTACATTATTGGTAATGTTGTTCTACTATTTGACATTATATGCATATATTCCTTTAGAGCATTCTTTTGCAAACAATTTAATACCAGAATAAACGACGTAGAATGAAAATTGAGGTGAGAAAACTGTAAAGAGTATAAACATTGGAGTGTGGGTGTCCGCTCACAGGGCAACGGGAGGTCCACCTTGTGATGCGGTGCGGTGTGGTGCGGGTGGCCCACCGGGCCATGCAAAGTGTTAATCTGCTGGCCTTACAACCATAGCAGTATGGCAATGTGCAGGTGGTCTTGGCGACCCAGCTGCAGCACAATCAACATAAGAAAGCACCCACAGATGGGTACACAAGCAGGGGATCAACAGAGATAAGATGGTAATTGAAATTTAATGTTGATCGTAAGAGGATTATGCAATTATCAAAAATATTCTGAGACATCTTAATACAAATACACATTCTAACAAAGAATTTTAAACAATCAAGCTACAACTTACATGCGCCATTTTGGGTGTTCAGGAAACTCCACAACCAACACATCTTCACTTTGTGATGTATTAATACGATGATAGAACAACTTTTGATTTTCACTACTCAAGGTCTCTGTCCCGTCAGCAACAGGGGCGATGGTAACCGAAATCCGAAGAAAAATGGAATATTTACGAAAAATTACAAAAAATACTACAACGTTCTGGCAACACTGTGGTCCAAACCGTTTAATGATATCTTGAAAATTAACGTAATTAGAGTCAAATTTCCCGCTGCAACTTTCGTGAATCTGGTCCTCGCGGCGTGAGTGCGCCGCGGGGTATTGTATCTTACGTTGTAGAAGTCTTATTTTTCGTAATAGCGTTGAAAATAACATGTTATGCATAAAATGAATATAAACTCACTCATTGGCAACAGTATCGTGTGAGAGAGAGGGTGGTATGTGGCTCAGCCCCATCAGTGACTCTGTGTCTCTCGTGGGGGGTGGTTGTATCGCTGACGCGCTCTCACACTATCTCCCAGAACTCATGCTATTATTGTTATTTGTACTGCAATATGACTTACCAAACGAACAAGAGACAAGCATTGAAAGCTAGATGCATGCGAGCTCTCCATAGAAGGTACGAGCTGGCCGCAATGCGTAAATCACGCATTGTCACGAGTGACCGCGAGTAGAGTAACTTGTCGCGCGCGCTACGCAACTCCAACTTTTACAACTAGATCCGGTCTCACAGCCTTTATTTATTATTCAATTTACATGAAACTTGCACATTATATGTAGAGTTTACGCCTCTATAAACGGATGTCATTATTCTTATCTACGTAGATTTATTGATTTTATAAATAATGATACACTTCATTTTGTTGCATACGTTTTTGGGAAACTTTTATAAATCTGTATTATTGCACTAAATACATCTGGGATAATGATGTGACATGCAAATCTTTATTATATAGTAAGGTCATACCTGCGTGTCGTAGAAATGATTTTGGTTCACAATTGTGGGCTGTGAAATCAATTGAACATGGTTGAAAAATTCAATTTTTTTTTTTTTTTTCTCCGTCTCTATTTAGGCTGAGATGCTGAAACTTGGCCTAGGTGCAGCACCTTTCACATGTATCAGGATAATAAATTATGAATACCCTACAACAATTTCTTATATCCTGGTACGATGGCCCCTTAAGAGAAATACCCCAGGACTCCATGCAAGGCATATCTTCCAATACAAACATGAGGCCAATATATAATAGTATACAAAATCAACGTTGAATGTAATGAAACGCCATTTTCTGGCTGAACCCCGGAGGCTCCTTGAAACTATCTGAATTTATAGTTCTTTAGTGCCCTAATATCCGCCAGACAAGGGTTAAGCAAACTCAAGTCTCTGATCCACACACACATATATATTCTATAACTGTACAAACCCAAGGAGGGTGCGAGAAAGTTTCTGATCTCGTGTTCGTCCATTTGCTGTTCTACTGCTGGTTGGTTGCCTCCCTTCTGCTCCTCTGCCGTTTTCCCTGAACTCCGCCGTGTTGTGGGGGATACTGAAGTCACTACAGTTCCAACAAACTATACTGTATTAGTTTAGGGTCATCAGTAACAGGATTTCTAATGTCTACCAGGAACCTCGAGCCAGAACCAGGCCCCCTCAGAGAGGCGCAGAGAGCAATGGCATATGAGCACTTTACATTTAAAGTATGTCATAATTACCATCGACCCAGAAAGGTAGGCGAATCAAAACAGACCACTGTCTGGTTAACCTGTGCAATCTACATAGAAAGAAACCAAACAAGCAACCCTTCATGCTACTAGCACTTCTGCTCATTAGTGCTACATGGAGGGGGAACCAACTCACTGGAGCCGGCAGACCACCACTCCAGTTCTTGAACGCTGAAAAAACGCCGAATGGAAGGAGGGAGGGTGTCTGGGAGTCCCCGGGGCTCACTCAGAAATGGCGTTTCATTACATTCAACATTGGTTTTCTGTGGGGAGCCTCGTTGACTCCTTGAAGCTAACTACCCAAAGACAAGTAAAAGGAGGGACTTATCCAGGTAAGTCCAGCAGCACCCCAGGTCTCAAGACAAAGAAGTCAGACAGCCGCGATGGGCGCCCCAAAGCACCACACGGCCGGGAAGGAACTAGAACGTTCACTAGATACCAGGTGACCAGGATCCTGTTCGACATCCAAAACCCAATGCCCGAATGTCTACCCAAGACAGGTTGCAAAAACCGCTGCGAGAGCAGCATACAGTACTTCCGAACGTCATGGGCACGAGAGTAGACCGTCGGCTGGCTAGACTTGATGACACTGCAGACAACCTGAGACACGTGAACCCTGGAACAGGGAACCAGGGAAACCAGATCCACCTAAAGAGCGTCCACAGTCATAGAACCAGATTTACATCGCAGGTAGCGATGTAAAGCCGCCACCAGACACGACGGATGCATCCCCTGCCTAGCCAACCAAGCATCCACAAACAATGGACCCCCTCCAGAAGCCAAAGTCTCATTCTTCATCAGAAAAGAAGGAGAAGGCTGCAAACAAAATGACCACCAGGACCAAATAAGCAGAACCCCCCGGCATCAGGAGAGCATGAAGCTCCCCAATCCGACTCCCCAGAGGCCAAGGCCAACAAAAACAAGGCCTTTTAAAAGCAATCCTAACCAAAGGGGCCACAACAAAACAAAGAGAAGAAAGAAAAGAAAAAACATGGTCTAAAGACCAAGAAGGCTCAGGTGGCACATGAGCAGGCCACAGGTGAATAAATGCACGTGAAAGCTTGAGGAATGGAGTGGAAGCAACATCCACCCCAAACGCAAGCTGAAGCAGTTCCGCCAATGCCGCACGATAAGAAGCTACAGTATTAGGCATGACATGCCAATCCAGAAAAAGCCAAGAGAGAGAAAGAACAAAAAGAACCTGGTCCAAAATCGATGAAAACCTTTGAAGAGAAAGACAGTAACGGAAAGATTGCCAAGAACCTTCATACTGTCACTGGGAAGAAGACCCAGCCCTACCTACTGCATTTGCCGGTGGATAAGACACGCAATGTTAACCATTTGGACACAATGTCAATTTTTTTTTAATAAAAATGAGCCACACGCTCATTTTTAGGCTAAAACAGGCATAATACGGAGTAATACATGAGGGCAGTAGGCTTGGGAGCTGGACGAGCATACAAGGCAAGGTCGCTAGGCACAAAATTGATGCCCATAATAAAATGATAAAAACAAGTCAATGACCACAGTCCATGAGCACAAGACTGAGGTAATAATATACAGAAGTATCCCAATCTTGTACACAAGACAAAACTGCCCTGGGAACACAAGACCGGGAGACATGACCACCACCCACGATTCCCTAAGGGAATGGACAAGGTAGAAAGAAGATGGTTGAATCAATACAATTGGTACACCCATAATGAGACACAGGTGGTAACGGAGTACCCAAAGGAGCCACAGAGACATTAAAAAGAACTTGTCCAGAGGCTACCAAAAACCGAATGAGTGGACAAAACTCCCCCAAACAAAAATTAGCAAACGAGCATGACATCATGTCGCCGTGCTACTGTCTACCCCCCCCCCCCCCCTCCCTGGGAGTAGGAAGGGGAAGTCCAACACCCCCACGCTGGCGATCCACCCTGCAGTTCTTAGGCTGGATCTCAAAATACGGGAAAACACCGCCGACTGGAGGGGAGGGAGGGAGGGATGCCAGGGAGCCTCCGGGACTCACCCAGAAAACGGACTTTCATTACATTCAACGCTGGTTTTCTGGGGGGCGCCCTGTCGGCTACCCAGAAATAACTACCCAAAGACAAGGAAAAACAGGGACTTACCCGGACGGCTGTCAGTCCTCACTCCTCAAAGCGAAGCAAGACAACCAGCTGCAACCGCCAACTCAGTGTAACACAGGCCCTACGAGAACCAGGGGCATTAACAAGGTAGCAAGCGGCCAGGACCCTGTTCGCCCTCCAAAAACCCTGTGCTCGAATGTCAACCCAAGACATGTTGCCAAAGACAGCAGCCAAAGCAGCAAACTTACACACGTCGTGGGGCACGAGGATAGACCGCAGGCTGTGTAGCCTTATTAATCCTGCTGACGACCTGACGATCCCGGGAACAGGGAAGAAGGGAAACCAGATCAACCCACAGCGCATCCCCAGCCACCAAAGCCGTGGAGCACAAATAACGGCGAAGAGCCGCAACTGGACAAAACACATTATGTACCCCCAGCCTGACCAACCAAGCATTATAAGACCAAGGACTCCTCCAGAAAGCAGCAGTCCCATTCTTCGCCAGAAAAGAAGGAGACGGCTGCAACCGAACAAACCTACCACCAGGACCAACAGAGCAGAAACCCTTGTGCCGGAGGAGAGCATGAAGCTCCCCGACCCGACCCTCAGAGGCCAGTACCAACAGGAAAAAAAAAAAAAAGGGTTGAATGTAATGAAACACCATTTTTTGGGTGAGCCCCAGGGGCTCCCTGGAGCTTATTGGGCTAATGTATGTTATATTAGACTGGGATATTAGCTATGGAGTTCAGACCTACCAGGGACCATGAGCCAGAACCTGGCCCCTTCAGAGAGGTTGCAGGGAGCAATGACCCTGGAAAACCCCCCCTGTGGTTGGGGGTGTTTCCCTATCTGCCATCGAATAGGGTTAGGCACCCAGAAAGGTAGGCATAACGAAACAAACCCCACATGGTAAGAACCTTAACAACAAAAACCGAACCGAGGTAGAACTCCCTACAATCCCAAGGAAACAAGCAAATGTTACACACTACTGCAGCGCCACTCGTCCGCACAGCCGACCCCTTCCGAGAGGGGGAGGGGGACCCTGGACCTCACCGGCTGCATAGCACTCCAGTTCGGAAGCTAAGCTTCAATAAACACCGACCAGTGGGAGGGAGAGTTGCAAGGGAGCCTCTGGGGCTCACCCAGAAAATGGCGTTTCATTACATTCAACGCTGGTTTTTTGAGGGGAGCCCCTATGGCTCCCTGGAGCTACATACCCAAAGAGAAGGAAAAGAACGGGCTGACCCAGGAGGCTGCTGTCACAAACTCCACAACACGAAGTCAAGACAACAGGGTGCAACCTGAGACCCAAAGCAACACAAGAACGTCCAGGAGCAGACACGCTCACAAAATAACAGGCGGCCAGGAACCTGTGCAACCTCCAAATCCCCGCACGTCGAAATGAGCACAAGACATGTTACCAAACACGTCAGCGAAAGCTGCAAACAACCGAATGGCACGGGTGCAATGATAGATCGCAGGCTGGTAGACTAAATAATCCTGCGGATGACCTGGGAGACAGGTCGCCCTGGAACAGGGAACGAGGGAAACCAGGTCAACCCAAAGTGCATCCCCAATCACGGCACGCAGGTAACGGCGAAGAGCCGCAACTGGACACAACACATGACGCACCCCTGGCCTAACCAACCAAGCATCAATAACCCAAGGACCCCTCCGGAAAGCAGCCGTCTCGGTCTTTGCCAGGAAAGACGGAGAAGGATGCAAACGTACAAACCTACCACCAGGATCAATAGAGCAGAAACCACTGCACTGGAGGAGAGCTGGAAACTCCCTGACCCAACCCCCCAGAGGCCAATGCCAACAAAAATATGGCCTTTGAAAAACAATCTTGAACCGAAGGGGCTACCACAAACCGAGGAGAGGAAAGATAAGAGAGCACCCTGACCAAGGACCAGGACCAAGGCACATAAGCAGGCCGGAGGTGAAACAAAGCACGAGAAAGCATACGGAACGGGACAGATGTGACGTCCACCCCGAATGCAAGCTGGAGTGGCTCCGCCAGAGCCGCACGATACAAAGCTACAGTAAGAAACATCAAAAGACTGTCCTGAAAAACCAAGAAAAGACAAGACAACCCGATGCGAAAGAGAAGACAACCTACGAAGAGCAAAAAAAATGGCGATAAAAAATGCCAGGAAACTGCATTCTGTCACCGAGACGAAGCTCGTAGGTGGGACACCATCAACAAAGTCAGCTGATCCCCATAGAGATGGTGATACACCCGCGTCAAAAGACTAGATGCAAAGAGCCGAGGAGAAGGCCGAACCAGCCAAGTACTGGACCGGTCCGACTTGCCGAAAAAGGCAGAGCTTGAGGTTATCTTGAGTTGATTTCAGGGCTTTTTTTAGTGTCCCCGCAGCCTGGTCCTTGACCAGGCCTCCAGCCCCAGGAAACAGCCCGTGACAGCTGACTAACTCCCAGGTACCTATTTACTGCTAGGTAACAGGGGCATAGGGTGAAAGAAACTCTGCCCATCATTTCTCACTGGCGCCCTGGATCAAACCCGGGACCACAGGATCACATGTCCAGTGTGCTGTCCGCTCGGCCGACCAGCTCCCCACCTGCTGAAAAGCTGAAGAGCTGCGGGAAACGCCCCCGGGTTCGGGCACCGATCAAGCAGCATCAGAAAATAAAGCTGGGCCGGCCACCAAGGGGCCACAAGGACTACTCCTTGGGAAGGACTCCAACAGAGTCAGAACCCGAAGCAACAGCTGGACCGGGAAAAGAGGTACAGGTAACTCCACCTCGACTAGTCCTGCTGAAAGGCATCCACCATGAACGCCTCGCAGGCGGGGAAGGGTGCCACATAGAATGGGAGACGCCGAGACCATATCGCCGCGAAGATGTCCATGTTTGGGAGTCCGTATGTCCGGCAGTCAACGAAATGAGTCGGCAACGACCGGCCAATCCATAAACAAAGGAATGAACAGAGACAGGCTGTCCGCCAGAACGTTGAACACTTCCCAGACATAAACCGCATGGAGAGCCAAATCCCGAGAATCCAGCAGACGAGCTACTCAAAGGGGCCAAGCCCAAAGAGGCAAGGACCGAAGAGAACCCCCGTGTTTATGGCAATGAACCACCAGAGAACAGTATGAATGGAGCTGGATGGTAGAGCCCTGAGTGATCCAAACCCTCCAAAGCGCAAACCAGACAGCCGCGAACTCCCGAACCATGCTGTGAGCCTGAGGGAAGGATGGACCCCACCGTACTCGGCCGACCTGGTGAGTACTGGTCACAAAGCCCCAGCCGAGAGACAACCCGTCCGTGAACACACCGAGCGAAGGCTTGGGGAGTCGCCAAGGCACGGAACCCCGAAAACCCGAAGAGGAAGCCAGCGACGCATCACCAACACAAGGTCCCCAGAGGACAAACCCAAGGATCATGAGAGAGGCGGAAGAGGCGTCCCCGAAGGAACCAAAACAGACGCCGAAGCCAAACACAACCCGACGGGTAAACCAGCACAATATTGCTTCCATGAGGTATTTAAGTGTAAATTTATGAACCTTCTGGAGGTCATTTCAAGTTGAATTGAGAATTCTTCAGTCTTCCTTACTCTATATTCATAACATAGCATGAGTGTGTTGAAAACATCCCTACTGTATCGGGGATGAGAAAGACAAACTGTCCTGGCTGAAAATTTGCAAAGTGTGGGAAAGCAGGACTTCCCCAAGGGAATAACAGAGTAGCTTTTAGCTTCAAACTATTTTTTAAATCAACGGCATAACATACCCCGTAAAAGATGCCCTTATGATCATGAGTCCATGTCAGACTCGAGAACTTTACTTTCTCTAGCACCTCTGGGAAGTCTTCTCCTGTTGATACCTGCAGAACGGGACAAGACAGTCTCAATTTACAAAACTTTGAATATACAGTAGTTAAAAACATTTTTATATATGCTGCACATGATTATCAAAATCCATATTCAAAATTATTAATAAAGTTCACAAATTTGCAAATAGATTCTAGTCAACAATTTCCTATACAATACCAAATAGAAGCTCCAAGAAATAAAGAAATCCTCCCAAACATTTAACACACTGTATGATAACTAGATATTCCAAGTCTAAAGAAAACAAACTGATTGAATGACAAACTAATCATGAAGTTTTAAAACAAGCAATAAAATTAGGAAGCATACCTTCTTGAAGTGGACAGTTATCCAGTCAGAGCCACTGCTACTAAGACCATATGCATAAATTTCTCCATCTTCACTAAAAGCAGAACCTGATATAGCCACAGTCCCATCTTCTGAGAGCTTATTTGGGTCAAGAAATACACGTGCTTCTCCCTCAATAGTGTCTTGAACATACATCACACTGAAGATAATGAATACAATTGTTAATTGAGGTAATAGACCAATTATCTTAAGTTACCCACTTAAGCACTAATATGGCAATGAAATGGTTATTTTTCCCTAATTACTGCTATTTCCATTCCCTGTTTTTGTTTTACCTTAATTGTACTTCAATGTACGTACTTTTCTGCCTGTTTCTCCTGAATTTTCTCAAAAGTTTCACACGTCTGTTTACTCGTTCCATACAATTTTGTTTCTCAACAAAAGCGTGTGGTGGATGCTTCATTTACAGTAACATGACAGTAATAAACATGGAACCTTGCCTTGAGGTTACCTTGAGGTGATTCCGGGGCTTAGCGTCCCCGCGGCCTGGTCGTCGACCAGGCCTCCTCGTTGCTGGACTGATCAACCAGGCTCTTGGACGCGGCTGCTCACAGCCTGACGTATGAGTCACAGCCTGGTTGATCAGGTATCCTTTGAAGGTGCTTATCCAGTTCTCTCTTGAACACTGTGAGGGGATTGCCAGTTATGTCCCTCTGATGTTGATAGTTCTCTCTTGAACACTGTGAGGGGTCGGCCAGTTATGTCCCTTATGTGTAGTGGAAGCGTGTTGAACAGTCTCGGGCCTCTGGTGTTGATAGTTCTCTCTTGAACACTGTGAGGGGTCGGCCATGTCCCTTATGTGTGTGGAAGCGTGTTGAACAGTCTCGGGCCTCTGATGTTGATAGTTCTCTCTTGAACACTGTGAGGGGTCGGCCAGTTATGTCCCTTATGTGTAGTGGAAGCGTGTTGAACAGTCTCGGGCCTCTGATGTTGATAGTTTCTCTCTTGAACACTGTGAGTCTCGGGCCTCTGATGGGTCTGGGAGGGGTCCAGTTATGTCCCTTATGTGTAGTGGAAGCGTGTTGAACAGTCTCGGGCCTCTGATGTTGATAGTTCTCTCTTGAACACTGGGAGGGGTCGGCCAGTTATGTCACATATGTGTAGTGGAAGCGTGTTGAACAGTCTCGGGCCTCTGATGTTGATAGAGTTCTCTCTCAGAGTACCTGTTGCACCTCTGCTTTTCAACGGGGGTATTCTGCACATCCTGCCATGTCTTCTGGTCTCATGTGATGTTATTTCTGTGTGCAGGTTTGGGACCAGCCCCTCTAATATTTTCTACGTGTAAATTATTATGTATCTCTCCCGCCTGCGCTCAAGGGAGTACAGATTTAGGCTCTTTAGTCGGTCCCAATAGTTTAGATGTTTTACTGAGTGGATTCTAGCAGTAAAGGATCTGCATGCTCTCCAGGTCAGCAATTTCTCCAGCTTTGAAAGGGGCTGTCATTGTGCAGCAGTACTCCACTCTAGAGAGCACAAGCGTTTTGAAAAGTATCATCATCGGTATAGCATCTCTAGTGTGAAAAGTTCTTGTTATCCAACCTGTCATTTTTCTTGCAGTTGTGACGGCTACTTTATTGTGTTTTTTAACCCTTAAATGGCGCATAGCTATATACCATTTGACACCCACAGGCGCATACCAAAAAAAAAAAAAAAAAAAATTATTTTTTCTTCCTAACCTGTTAATTTGTGTTCACTGATCACGGGAAAAATAATAAAAAATCCTAAGTGGCATATATTGCCTGCTATAGGGCGAGGAATTCTGGCAAAAAATAGGCGCTGACTCAGCATTCGTCCCAGGTGGTCTGTTGATCGCCAGCTGTCAGGCCGGAGTTGCCACAAAGAGATAATTACCTAATTATTTCAATGTCTCTGATTGATTTTTCGTAGTTTTTTTGCTGTAATATTATTCAATAGTGTGTAGTGTGATATATTTATATAATAAAATGAGTGAATCATCACTGTACTCAAAAATATGGTGTGCATATTGTTGATTCAATTATGTTCATCAAACAGTGAACAAATACTTTGTCAGTTATTACACTACATACACAGGTTATATATAAGTATCTGCATGTTTTGTTCACCATAACTGTACATCTAAGCTTGTATGGTGAGTAAAGGCACAAAGACGTAGGACCTCACACAGTCAGCTGATGGCTGCCGCCCTCAAGGCCAGCTCAAGGTTCTTGTCTATGTCCGATATGAGGATGAGAAAAAGTACTGGAGCAAGCACAGTATCCTGGGGGACTGAGCTCTTCACGGTTGATGAGCTGGATTTTGTTTTGTTGACTATTACACATTGGGTTCTGTTAGTCAGGAAGTTGTAGATCCATCTGCCTATTTTTCCGGTAATTCCTTTTGAACGCATTTTATGTGCAATAACACCATGGTCAAATTTATCAAAAGCTTCTGCGAAATCTGTGTAAATTACATCAGCGTTTTGTTTGTCTTCCATAACATCTAATGTCATGTCATATAGTGGTCCAGCAACTGCGACAGGCAAGAGCGCCCTGTTCTGAAACCATGTTGTCCGGGATTTACAGGTTACAGAACCTGTAACAATTTACATTATTTCTTATGGGAAAATTTGTTTTGAGTTACAATCCGTCTCTGGGAACGGATTAAATTCGTAAATGGAGGTACCATTGTACTGTACTGTACTATTTGAGAGGATGGGTTGACATATTATCACAAGTTCTCATTGTTTTTACATCATAAATTTACGGAAGAAGTCTGAAGGGTTCTAATTAGAATGGCTATTTATGGTCAAACTGATGTAAATTTCATCTTTGTTGAAGTTTCAGATCAATTTGCTTATGTCTAGCATTACAGAGATCAAGAAATATATTTACATGTATAAGTATTTGTTCTATCAAATACTGATATACAGTATCATCATTACACACAGAAAAAAATCACAATAGCGTGATGCATCAAATGAACAAATCCACAAGGACTGTGACGAAGGTTCGAACCTATGTCCGAGAGGATCCCAGACGCTGCCTTAATCGACTGAGCTACGACACGGTAAAAGAATTGCAACCGGAAGTTCTACTGACCTTACTCGGATCCTGCAGCCTCTCCGAGACACAAACCAGGATTTTACACAATTCCTCCATGCACCCGAGCTCTGTCAATAAGCTGTTCTCCCTCTTCGCCATTACTTCATTACACACAGAAATCACAATAGCGTGATGCATCAAATGAATTGTGTGTAATGAAGTAAGGGCGAAGAGGTAGAACAGCTTATTGACAGAACTCGGGTGCATGAGGGAATCGTGTAAAATCCTGGTTTGTCTCTCGGAGAGGCTGTAGGATCCGAGTAAGGTCAATAGAACTTCCAGTTGCAATTCTTTTACCATGTCATAGCTCAGCCGATTAAAGCAGCGCGTGGGATCCTCTCGGACGTAGGTTCGAACCCTCATCACGGCCCCTTGTGGATTTGTTCAGTATCATTATCTCTTAAGGAACTGTCCATAAATTATGAAAGGTGCAGACTCGCTGTATCGTCCTCATCAGTACTGTATTACTTGCATTCGACCGTTGTGTTAGGTCCTTATTGTGCTTAGCTTCATCATCCGAAACGACCCTTATGTTCTTCAAACAATAAGGTCTGAATTTCCCCTACAGAGAGCGATCTTTCAACACCGCATCGGACAGGTGTCTGGGAGTCAGAGGCATGTGCACCAACCATGATTGCTCACTTGGAACTGAGCCAGCCAGAAGCCCTAGGACATTCTGGGAATTTTGATCATGACTCGACTGCCTCTCACTGGAGGTCCCAAGAGTCCATTTCGTACACAACCTCCGGCGCGCGCGTTTTGAATGGGTACGAAACATTTAAAAAGTGTTTTCTCGGCACGCACAGTTTCCCACCGACTGAGTTTTCTCGGCCGGTGCAGTCCAGTGGTTGAAGAATTCCCATAGAGCTAAATTAAATGTTGAGGGAATTCTCAAAGTGCCACGTTAAATGCATAGGGAATTTTCTATGCCATGTTAACAGTTTAGGGAATTTTCATAGTACTTGTCTACTGAGAGTTAAAAATGACACATCACACTTGTAGTACACCACCACTATTGTAATATAAGTGAACAAAACAAAAGAACCTTCAAAGATAACGATTATTCTCATGGGCAAATGAATTAAACTCCTCTCATACTAGTAACCCACAGGCCCACCCACATAAAACTATAAAACAGTGTACAATAAATGATCATATAGGCAAGTCTCACATTCTTATTATAATCTCGTAATGTAAAATAAATTACCTTACTTTGTAATAGCTTACCTTTGATTTTGCAAACCAGTATTCATGAAGAAGAAATATCTGTTTCCTCTGCGAAATGGGCAGGAATACTTTGGGTAATCCCACAATTCTGTCAATTTTGATTTTATCCTCTCACGTCCATGGCATTTTTCTAGATATGGCACCGTTATAGCATTTTGAGCATCTACAAATGCCTTAGTTTCTTCAGAGTCTGGATCTTCCAGCCATCGGTAGGGATCTGCTACCTAATAAAAAATTAAAAAGCCAGCGTTGAATGTAATGAAACACCATTTTCTGAGTAAGACCCGGAGGCTTCCCCCGGAGCTATACCGGGCTGATGTGCATATACTAGACCGTGGCAACAGTCAGTCGATGGAGTTCCAGCCCTACCGGGGATCAGCGCCAGAACCTGGCCCCCTCAAGAGGCGCACGAGGAGTAATGGCCTATAGACAGCCCCATGTAGTTGGAAGCAGTCTATGTCTACCATCTACCAGGTAAGATACCCAGAGAGGTAGGAATTCCAAAACAAACTAAAGCTGGTTAAAAACTGCAACCGAAAGCCGAACAAGCAAGCATAACTCCCCAATCCAAAAAAAGTAAATCAGCATGACGTCACCACAGCCACTGCACTGCTGTCTGCGCAGCTCTCCCCCTCCCCAGGCTGGGGAAGGGGGGCCCCCCAGACCTCCTGTACCGGCTACCCAATCCCAGTTCAGAGGCTGGATATCAAAAACGAAAAAAAACGCCGACCAGAGGGAGGGAGGGATGCCGGGAACCTCCGGGTCTCACCCAGAAAATGGCATTTCATTACATTCAACGGTGATTTTCTGTGGAGAGCCCCTTCGGCTCCAGGGAGCTACCTAACCAAAGATAAAGTCAAAGAGGGACTTACCCGGGAGGCGGCTGCCACTCGCTCCTCAACTCGAAGCCGAGACAACTGGCTGCATCCTGCGACCCAAGGCTACACACGCCCGAGAAGGACCAGAAACATTAACGAGGTACCATGCGGCCAAGACCCTGTTTGACCTCCAAAAGCCCCATGCCCAAATGTCAGCCAAAGACATATTACCAAAAACAGCAGCCAAAGCCGCAAACTTACAAACATTGTCGGCATGGGAATAGATCGCAAACTGGCTGGACTGAATAATCCTGTGAATGACCTAGGAGACCCGCGCCTTAGAACACAGAAGAAGGGAAACTGGGTCAACCGAAAGCGCATCCCCTGCCATGGAGGCCGTGGTGCGCAACCAGACACAAAACATGATGCACCCCCAGCCGAACCAACTAAGCATTAATGACCCAAGGACCCCTCTGGTAAGCAGCAGTCTCATTCTTCGCCAGAAAAGGAGACAGCTGCAAACTAACAAAATGACCACCAGGATTGAAGGAGCAGAAGCCCCTGTGCAAGAGAAGAGCACGAAGCTCTCCGACCTGACCCCCAGAGGCCAATACCAAAAAGAAAATTGCCTTAGAAAAAGTCCTGAACCGAAGGGGCCACCACAAACCGAGGAGAAGAGAGAAAAGAGAGCACCCAGTTCAATGCTAGGAGGTGCATGAGCAGGCCGGAGGTGAAACAACGCCCGAGAAAGCTTGCGGAACAGAGCAGCTGAAAATGAAGCTGCCATTTACCCAAATCCTTGGCAAAAGCAGGAGCAGGCAAGCAGTCCTCAAGTAGGGAATAAGAAGGGTTGCCCAAGAACATCTGTAAAACTTCTGACACTTCACACCGTTCAAGCATACAAGCACAACAGAACCCGTCAAGTTCCAAGGGAAAAAGAGGGTTGTCAGCCCAATCTGTCCTCTTGAATTAATGGACTGTCACATTTTTACGTATACTCTACCTAAGGCCAAAAATTTTTGTACAGTACTTGAAAATGGTAGCAGTTCGCGAAATTGACATGCTATCGCGATTTCTGTTTTGGGTCCTCTGGTAGGTTAGGGTAAGGGCACTTTAATACAACAGTTTCTTGACATTGGGAAATCTTAGAAGGACGGGCTGTGTCAGCCAGCCAGGATGAGTTCAAAACCTCATTAACTTAGGCAAAAAGTTGATGCCAACCCAAACTCAAAGGAAGCTGGGTCCATCGCCGAAGTGAGGTCCGAATTCTGCAGAAGGCACAGCAAAAGGTGTTCACAAAATACCAAAAGGGAGACTTGTGAGGAACAAAACCTCTGGAAAGAAGTACCACACGACTGAACAGCACACGGAAACATGCACTGGGGGAACCTGTAAAGCTTCTCTGACTTTCTGGATGCTTTCCCAGGGAAAAGGAGGAATGTCATTTGCTCTCTGCCCCTTGTGTGAAAGGGTCAGGTTTTGGCTCTGGTCTCTGTAGGTTAAATGAACTCATGAAACCGATATGACTGGTAGATTGGAGCAATCTCTGCAAGATAGCTACAGGAAGCTACAAGGGGCTCCCCCAGAGAAAACAGTTTAAGCTGTACAGTACTTGATAATGTATTTTGGATTGAGATGTGTTTAATTAAAGTGCAAATGTTATTCTATCTGGATTACTTTATAATTAACATTTAATGATATTTCAGTGGAATGTTTAAAGTTTCAAGTGACATTTTTTTACTATTATAATTACAACATGATTAAACTTTGCACAACATAAAATATTAACCACATGCAAAACTTTCATAAAACTCATCAAAAGTCAACCTTGTCTCAGAATACAGAGCGCCTTGTGTTTTCTGGATGCCACTTATCTGGAAATGCCTGTTTCCAGTTTTGGGTTTATCTGAATAAAAAAGGTCTGATAAACTGGTGAGGCAGGCAGTCCGAATAAAAATGTACGAGAAAGTCGTAAGGAGAGTGCCCGCCAGACCTCACTGCCCGAGGGTGGTAGGGGGGGGGCATGGGTGGGAGATGGGGCCTTGTTTGCCCAGTGACTGTCAGGCACCACTTTAGTGCCTTCTACCCTGTGATATCAAAGATTCATAGCCTATTGTTTTGATCTGTAATTAAACAGGAGAGTTCATTCTGTGATTTTGTTGGATATACAGTATTGTCAAAATCTAGGAACATCTATGCACCATGTCAGTTCTAAATGCACTTACTGTGTCAGTGAAAGCTTCAACAAGCAGGATACATAAAAGAAAGAAGTCAGTGATAACATGTGTGAAGAAAATTTAAATAATTAAGAAGGTGGAGAGTGGAATCCCGAGAAGTGTTGAATGCACTGAATACGGCACTAGGAAGATTACGCTTTCCGTTATTATTAAGGCTAAAGCTATCATCTTTGACTATTCTTCTAGAAGTGAAGGAGATAAAGCAATACAAAAGAAGTTTGTATGCATGATTGAAGTACTTCAGTCATGTCATCCTCCTCCTGCCCTAAACAGTTACCTTTCAAGAAAACCAGCATTGAATGTAATGAAACGCCATTTTCTGGGTGAGTCCCGGAGGCTCCCCGGAGCTATCCCAGGCTGATATGCTAATGTCAGACTTTGGCATCAGTCATGTGTATGGAGTTCTTAGGCCTACCGGGGACTATGGCCAGAACTGGGCCCCCTCAGAGAGGCAAGGGGAGCAATGGCCTATAGAAGCCCCCGTGTGGTTGGAAGCATTCTATGTCTGCCATCGACCGGAACAGGCACCCAGAAAGGTAAGTGCCTCAAAACAAACCCCTATTCTGATTAAAATTGCTACCAAAAGCCGAACTAGTGGATAGAACTCCCCAACCGAAAACAAGCAAACTAGTGTGACGTCACACACCGCCGCGCCGCTGTCTGCGCAGCTCCCCCCTCCCCGGGAGGGGGAAGGGGGAGCCCAGACCCTCCACGCTGGCTACCCACACCTCAGTTCCTGAGGCTGGATGTCAAAAACGCAAAAAACCACCGACCGGAGGGAGGGAGGGATGCTGGGGAGCCTCCAGGACTCACCCAGAAAATGGCGTTTCATTACATTGAACGCTGGTTTTCTGGGGGGAGCCCCGTCGGCTCCCCAGAGCTAACTACCCACAGACGGAAAAAGAGGGACTTACCCGGGAGGCGGTCGTCGCTCACTCCTCAACTCGAAGCCGAGACAACTGGCTGCAACCGCCGACCCAAAGCAACACAGGCCCGACGGGGCCCAGGGACATTCACAAGGTAACGAGCAGCCAGGACCCTGTTCAACCGCCAAAATCCCCGCACCCAAATATCAGACCAAGACATATTCCCAAAAACGGCAGCAAGAGCCGCGAACTTACGAACATCATGGGCACGGGGATAGACCGCAGGCTGGCTGGACTTAATAACCCTGCGGACGACCTGGGAGACCCGAACCCGCGAACAGGGAAGAAGGGAAACCGGATCAACCCACAGTGCGTCCCCGGACACAGAAGCCGTGGCGCGCAAGTAACGGCAAAGCGCCGCAACCGGACACAAAACATGATGCACCCCTGGCCTGACCAACCAAGCATCAACCACCCATGGACCCCTCCGGAACGCAGCAGTCTCATTCTTCGCCAGAAAAGAAGGAGATGGCTGCAAACGAACAAAACAATCACCACGACCAAAAGAGCAGAAACCCCTGCGCCGGAGGAGAGCATGAAGCTCCCCTACCCGACCCCCAGAGGCCAAAGCCAACAAGAAAAGTGCCTTGGAAAAACAATCCTGGACCGAAGGGGCCACAACGAAACGAGGAGATGAAAGGAAAGCGAGCACTCTGTCCAAAGACCAGGATGGCTCAGGCGACGCATGAGCAGGCCGGAGGTGAAACAATGCACGAGACAGCTTGCGTAACGGCGCAGAAGTAACATCGATACCGAAAGCAAGCTGAAGCGGCTCCGCCAGCGCCACATGATACGAGGCGACAGTGTTAGGCATAAGATGACGGTCCTGAAACAACCACGAGAGGAAGGACAAGACCACCCGAACAGACAAGGAAATAACACGACGAAGACGCAAAAAGAAACGGAAGGACCGCCAGGAAACTTCATACTGCCGCCGAGAAGAAGCCCTCAGGTGGGACACCAACAAGGAGGCCACCTGATCACCATAGAGATGATGATAGACTCGAGTCAAAAAACCCATACGCGAAGACTCGAGGAGAACAGTGGAAGGGCAAAAACAAACTGAATAAAATGACAGAACCCCCCACCAGGCAAAAATAAAAATAAAAACAAAACCCTGCAAGAGGACAGCGAACCCCAAAGAACAGAGCCGGCCGCGATGTCGGGAATACAAGCTGAGCAGCACCCTGCGCCCCTACCAGTGCAAACTGCCTCTTACCTGCCGGTAACAAGGGAGAACAGAACACCCAAGAGCCCAACAGGCGGCCGAAAAAACCGAAAGGTTAAACAGACCAGCAGAGGCAGACCCCGAGGAGCCTGTGCAAGGTAGGCCCAAGGGCAGTACTTACAGGGCACCTAGGGAAGGCAGCCCTAGGCGCATGCAGCCCGAGTACTGAAGGTAACTCCTGGCTCTCGCACCCACAAAACCAACACCACACGCAAAGCACAGTGCAGTAGCGACACCGGAGCCAGAGCACACGACCATCGCCTATAGCATCAGCTTCAAGAACTGAGGTGTGGGTAGCCGGCGTGGAGGGTCTGGGGCTCCCCCTTCCCCCTCCCAGGGAGGAGGGAGCTGCGCAGACAGCGGCGCGGCGGTGTGTGACGTCACACTAGTTTGCTTGTTTTCGGTTGGGGAGTTCTATCCACTAGTTCGGCTTTTGGTAGAAATTTTAACCAGAATAGGGGTTTGTTTTGAGGCGCTTACCTTTCTGGGTGCCTGTTCCGGTCGATGGCAGACATAGAATGCTTCCAACCACACAGGGGCTTCTATAGGCCATTGCTTCCCGTGCCTCTCTGAGGGGGCCCAGTTCTGGCCGTGGTCCCCGGTAGGCCTAAGAACTCCATACACATGACTGATGCCAAAGTCTGACATTAGAATATCAGCCTGGGATAGCTCCGGGGAGCCGACGAGGCTCCCCCCAGAAAATGTAAATTAAGCTTTTATGAGTTTCTTCATAAAAAAAGTTTGTAATTCCTAGACTTAATTACCCTTCTCATTCAATGGTCATTCGTACCATTCAATGGTACGACCAAAACTGAACTGAATAATCTAAATGAGCCTGAACAAAGGCAAGATGATACTGAAGAGTAACATGAGATGTCTTACTACTAATGCTTCATGATATGAATCCCAGTATCCTATTTATTTCAAACATTTATACAGTACATTTATTTTTTGGTCCTTTTCATATTCAGATTTGAAAATCTCAACAACAACTTTTTAGGGGGCCTGATAGCTGAGTGGACATTGCTTCGGATTCGTAGTCCTGAGGTTCCGGGTTCGATCCCAGTGGAGGCGGAAACAAATGGGCAGTAAATAGATACCTAGGTGTTAGACAGCTACTTCCTGGAGTAGTGTAACAAAAAGGAGGCCTGGTCGAGGATTGAGCCACGGGGATGCTAATCATCTCAAGATAATCTCAAGATAACATTATCCAGCTGAAATTTGGCAACTAGGCTCAGTTTAAAATTACATCTGTCAATCTTTCATCCATTTTATCTAAATCATAGTGAATTAGAATTTTATGAATGTATTTGCAGCCCTATTCTTTTTATCTTCTGCAAATCTTGCAGTTCAATCCTTTTTCTAAATAATTTATATAATAAGCAACAGAGGTCCCAGGACCAAGCACTGCAGCACTCCACTTGCAACAGTTTCCAACACAGACTCGACTATATTTATACTAAACCTGTTTCATTTTAAATAACCATGTCCTAATCCAAGTTAGTAGAACTTTCTTAATACTATTCGACTCTATGATTCTAATTAGTCTTTCTTGGGTATAGCTATAGCATCAAAGGTGTTTTGCTAAATGAGATTAACAATATAATGGAGGAACACCAGGGTAAGTGCCAAGGAGTATCAATTACATACCTTTATTCCATGCAGTTCTTCAACAGTGTCCTCACGGTGCACTTTTGGGTATTCCATCTTATAGTTCCTTGACAATGCTCCTTGCACACCCAGGAGATAGAAACAGTTTTGCCTAATCTGTCAATCATAAGAACATAAAATTAAGAAACACTATACATTTTTGATCACAGCCAATCAAGAGAGGTACGGTATGTACAATCCCATTGCTAGACTTCACATTACACACAATATTATGAAATATTATTGAAAATACAATTATAGCTTACAGGATGAGTGTGAAGTGAAGCCACAACTGGCTGCAACATTCAAAGATAATTTTGTCCATAAATTTTCATATTAGATTAACCTTTTAAACTCTACATGTCATGTACCTTCTGTGCAAATTGACCTATAAAAAATACCCAACCTCCCCTAGAATACAAGATACTTCAATAAAAAAAAAAAAAAAACTTGCCTCCAATTTACATTATACACAACAGTTGCAGTGAAAGCCGTGATTTGGTTACCAGCCGTCATTAATGCATTTTTGGCCTTGTGGCCTTCATCAGAGCTCCGTTGAAGGCCACTCGGCTGAAAATGTGTTAAGAATTACTGTACAGTGGTACCTCGAAATACGAGTGTCCCTGTATACAAGTTTTTCGGAATACGAGCAGGATTTGCTCGGAAAATTTACCTCGGAAGGCGAGGGATGCCTCGGAACACAAGGGTGTTGATACACGTACAGGCCATCTAGCCCGTGGTGGCACGGCGATCGTGCCTCAGTTTACCAGTGTCTCGCGCCCAGTGACTCTCCCGCCTGAATTCTTCACAAGGATTTACAGTTTTTTGTTGGTTTTTTAGCCATTTGAGCATAAAAGTTGTTATTATATATCTCGCCATGGGTCTCAAGAAAGCCATTGGTAAGGTTCAACCTAAGAAATTAGCTGTGAGTAGAGGCAGTAGAGGATGTCCCTTCTTGATTAAGAAAATGTGTGAAGTATGGGAAGAACTGCAAAGTTTTGTTGAAAAAACTCACCCAGATAAAGCTGTAGCAGGCTGTTGCATTGACCTTTTAAATGACAATGTGATGTCTTACTACAGACTTACTACAGAAAAACAAGTGTCTTTAGAGATTCTTAGTAAGACAAGCAAGCAGTGAGCCACACGCAGGTCCTAGTGGTGTGCAGGCAAAACGTGCCAGAGAATGCACACCAGTGAAGTCCTCACTGCCTGATGTTATAATGGAAGGAGACTCCTCACCATCTTCCATACGCCAACAGCAGTCATCAGCAAGGGTAAGTATTAACTTGAACATAGTTTTGTAGGTTTATTTAGATGAATTAGGTATAAAAGTTAGTTTGAAGTGAGGTTTTTGGGTAGTCAGGAACGGATTAATTCATTTCCCATTATTTCTTATGGGGAAATTAGCTTCGGATTACGAGTTTTCGGAATACGAGCTGTCTCCAGGAACGGATTAAACTCTTAGACCGAGGTACCACTGTATTTTATTTTTTAATGTGTTTTTTTCCACATACAGTGGCACCTCGACTTACGATTGTCCTGACTTACGATACAGTAATTTCAAGTTACGATATAAATTTGATCGAAAAATGACTCGACTTACGATAATGTCATCGACTAACGATATTCGTTGATACACGTTCTGGTCGACCGTGCATGTGTTTCCTGGTCGTGCGGGCTGACCTGCCTCAGTTTACTAGAGCCGCCCGCTTAGTGACAATCACGCTTATAAGAAATTCCATTTTTGTGGTGATTTTTTGCTTTTTAAACATAAAACTGATTATTATATATCATGCCATGGGTGCGAAGAAAGTCAGTGGTAAGGTTCAACATATGAAAACACATGAAAAGAATGACCATAGAGGAAAAACAAGAGATCATTCGTAAATATGAAAATTGTACTCGTGTTGTTGAACTAGCTAGGCAGTACAACAAATCTTCAGGGGAGGAGGAGGGAGGCGGCGGCAGTAGAGGATGTCCCTTCCTCATTAAGAAAATGTGTGTGCAGTATGGGAAGGACTGCAAAGTTTTGCTGAAAAAAAATCACCCAGATAAAGCTGTAACAGGCTGCTGCATTGATCTTATTAATGACAATGTGATGCCTCACTACAGAAAAGTGTTGCAAAGAAGGGAAAAACAATCTTCAAGGGAACGATTTCTAGTGATAAAATCAGGCAGCGAGTCTGAAGCAGGTCCTAGTGGTATGCAGGCAAAACATGCCAGTGTGTGTACCCCAGAGGTCCTCACTGCCTGATATTATAATGGAAGGGGATTCCTTTCCAAACAGTAACACCTCTCCTCCTCTCACCTCATCACCATCTTCCATACGCCATCAGGAGTCCTCCATAAAGGTAAGATAAACATATGTACTGTATTGTAGTTAGAGAACATTTTTTTATTCAGTATAGAATGTTTTTAAGTTGATATTTTTGAGGGTGTGGAATGGATTAATTCAGTTCCCTTTATTTCTTATGGGAAAAAGCGTTTCGACTTATGATACGTCTCTGGGAATGGATTACCATCATAAATCGAGGCCCCACTATACAGTATCTGTACTTGGATCGAGGCTCGAGGATCTTGTATCTGTACTTTCCTATGTGAAGTCCAACTTCGCATAGACTTCACATAGGTACTTTCAACCAAATGCTGCAATAAGTACTACAGTATCATTTCTGGAGCTTGGCCTGGATTAAAGGCTTATTAGGCCTCCACACACTTGTCTCTATGGACGACAGTTGACTCAAATAGTGCAGGCTAGAAATAAAAGAACCTTGAAACTGTTACAATTACCCCAGTGACACAAATGTAAATGCTTATGGTAGCTTTTATTACATTAAGCATTATGGTAATAAATCATTAGGGTAGAGAACCTGATGGGAAATGACTTCATACTGTTTGCCACCAGATTTGAAAACTTATCCAACCCAATCTCACAACATAAACAATTCTAATAATTACAAAATGAGCTTTGTTGAAACGCTTGTGTACGATTTGACAGTTCCCCATCCGATCCCATTGTGTGACTAGCTTTTTTGCCACTCACCCACAAGATGAGTATGGTGTCTATAGGACTGATATGGGGGTCCACAGGATTGATATGGGGGGTCCACAGGATAGGTATGGGGTACACAGGTTAGGTATGGGGTACACAGGTTAGGTATGGGGGTTCCATAGGATAGACATAGGGTTCCATAGGATAGACATAGGGGTCCACAGGATAGACATGGGGGGTCCATAAGCTAGACATGGGGGTCCACAGGATAGGTATTTGGTCAATAATATGGGGAACATAATAAACTAATTAAAACCAAACCACCTGAAGCTGCATCAGTCTATTGGACCAGTCTTATAGAAACTATTGTACTAATAGTCTTATTTATTACTAGTAGATTTAAATAGATTTACCCAAGCCAGGAACATTTCCAGTCATTATTTGAGTGTATTTGTTGCTATGTCAAAGAGGTTGAAATATTTGCATGTATAGCACAGTGGTCTACATCATCGGCCCACAACCGAGGGACCCAAATTCAGTCCCCGGCCAGGACACAAATGGTTGCATACGAGATGCATACACAAGACGATTCACTAATTTTGAAGCTTTCCTAACCTAACCTAACTCAACCCTAGCTAACACAAGTCAATACGGCCTAGCCTAACCTAATATATCTTAACCTAACAACATATACAAAAGACGAGCTGTTGAATCATCTTATATACAAGATGAACATACCCCAAGCAGGGATGATTTAGTACATTTCCTCACACCTGATGACTCTGTTCACCTACCAATAAAATAAGGCCCCCAGAGTTAGTTAACTGTTTTGGCTTGCATCCTGGAGGGCTCAATAATTAGCCTACGGGGCCCTAGAGAGGCCTAAGTATAGGCCAGCAGTCCCTAGCAACGGGAATTCTACGAGATATTAGTGAAGTAAAAGGTGGAAGTTGTGAGTGGTGGAGCAAACTTGGCTCTACATAGTTGGCTCTGTTAGTACTGGTAGAGCCTCGAGAGCACAGGGTGGTGGAGGAGCTTACTAGTGAGAGAGCAGAGTGGTGGAGAAGCTTACTAGTGAGAGAGAGCTGGTGTAGAGGCGCGTGGCGGCAAGCATGGACTGTTGTGGAGGCCAGCTGGGGGAGTCTGGCGGAGGGCGGCAGGTGGGGAGGCTGGTAGGTGGTAGTAGGTGGGGGGAGGCTGGTAGGTGGGGGAAGGCAAGTGGGGGAGGCTGGTGGGTGGTGGTAGGTGGGGGGTGGCAGGCTGGAGGAGCTTGGCGTGGGGCTCCCAGCTGGTAACCAACACAACCCCCACCCACCACTCGCTGTTGTTCTCGTCTGAATAAAAACATGGCACTTGTTCATATAATTAGCGCTTCCATTATTAGAATTATTTATCCATTATTAGAATAACAAGGTGCAAACCATATCCCCTTACAGTTGAAATCTATTTATTTATATACAAGAAGGTACATTGGGTTGCGAGAGTACATAACATTTATTAAGAGGTACATTGTAGCAAGATTTGAGATTAAAGGATTAAATAATAACATAGGCACCAACTTTGCTTACTAATACTTTCTAATCATTCATAAAGTAACAATACGTTGCATAGGGGAAGATCTTTAATGTGCTTAGCTGCACGATCAATTAGGCTCCTCCCGGCACCACGATGAGGGAGGCAGCAGGTGGTCGCGAGGAGCTCGCTCTTCTCTTGGCTGGTGGCGTGAGGTTAAGACCTACTCTGTGGCTGTATCCCTACTCTCCTTCCTTCTCCTCTTACTTATTTCCCTTACCTGAAGTTCCTGTACCCTTAAGTTAAGTATTATATGGTGTAAGTGTGCCTACTCTGGTAGTAACGATTGGGGAGACCTGGGGATAGTATTTTGCCAGTGTTTGGGTACCCCTAAGTGTTGTGTTTGTATTAGGGTCCCACGTGGTTTCACTACCCTAAGCTGCATCCAGCTTCAGTGCTTATCCAGTAGTACTTTACCCTAGCTTGTTATTAGTGTAAACCTTGTATCCTGCCTACGTGGACCAAGGCTTTTAACGTAAGATAGTGTGGTAAAGTTATTATTATTATTGTTATTGGTGTGAGTGTATATGGGGGGTTGTTAACGGGTTAATAAATAAGTACATGAATTACAGAGTATCTCTTCTTCCAAGGTGGGAGCGCAGTGATCAACCCTTAGACGAACATATTTGGTCTTGTAGCAAGTTATTACTACTGTGGATAGTTTATTTTGGGGGCCGGGCCTTTTAGCTCTCCCATATTTGATACTCCTGTCTTCTAACTACCTATACCCCTTAATAGTACCAGTACCCCATAGAAGCCCCACTCATATCATTTGTAACAAGTGGGCGCCCCGAAGGAGGCTATTATTTGTTATGCACCCCATACTCAACCAGTAAGTAGTGGAGCAAAACATAGATTACATGGTCATAAAGTCTTAATCAGACCAATTCAATTCAATTTCTTTCTTTATTATGCACCCCATACCCATCCCGCGGGCGGTGGTGTAAAGGATTACAGAGGCACATAATCGGTTCAGGAACTGAACCCTCTAGTTCGTTTAGCTAAGCAAATAACAATTTGTGACGCTAGTTACAAAATTATTAATATTATATATACATGTACACACTCTCATACATACATGTACATATATATATACGTATACATATATACATACACATACATATCTAATCACCTACACAAATACACACATCAATAATCTTTGTGTCACAAGTGATCAACAAGAGGCTCACAACAGTCACTATAAAAGGCACTTTACATCTATGGTGAGTCACACAGTTACTAGTCTTGCTGCACACCCACCCAACTGGGCGGCAGCTTTACAGTCATGTGCAGCATTACCTACAGTAAGCAAATTTTGGATACTTCGCTAAGATTTCGAGCAGCACATCATTATGAATGAAGTACTTACACATTTCTTGGACACTATTGATGGTGTTATCTCTAAATTCCGCGATTTTTTCACATTCCATTATATAATGACGCAAAGTATGCGAATATTTCTGCTGACAGAGTTTACATTTAGTCAAATCTACATCAGCAGATGTTACAACTCCCAGAGGTACTTGTAGCCGAGCCTAAGCCTAGCAGTGGTAACATCTAGAAGTCTGCTAACATTATTGGATGACCCATAGACGTGCGGTTCTTTTTTGCATAATAGAATGATGATTGATGGAGTAACTGGTGTGAATTTAACTTTGCCTCAAGTCTCCGAAATTTAGTTGATGTTCCTGGGAAACTGCTGCCCTCAGGCTGCTCAAAGGCAGTCCAAGTTGGTAATCAATTCCCTCTTTACGAGCAAAAGTCTTGGCCAACTCATCAGTTCTCAGTGGCTATTTTTACATTATCATTTACAACTAACTTAAGTTAAATAACAACCAGTAAACAGACTGCTGTTTTCTAATTCTAGTTCAGGCACTTCCTGGGATAAAACGCGAACATTCCTTGAGGAACTGTGAGGTGCTTATCTGTTTTTCCTCGTAACGGTCCCAAAGCTTCCACAAATGTTCCTGTTTCTCTTCATTGCCCTTGCGGCGACTGGACTTTAGCTTTTGATCAGAAACCAGATGGTATTGCAAGGTTACCAGGGACGCCTCACGGTACAGTAAGGGGATTAAAATATATAAAGCCAAGTTGTCCCTCACTGCCCTTTGATTCAGACGCTGGTGCCATCCTTCTACGTCATTGTTGGTCCTCACCAGTCGTCTAAATGCACACCAGTTCCCCAATTTCCACACACTGTTGCACAGCCACGTATTTTTTTATGTAATGAGTTAATTGTGTCGTTAAGGGTGGACTGCTAGCCGACTTTTCTGATTCAGCAAACGCCTTACAGTTATGTAGTACATACGTACCACATAAGTACGTGTGTGTCATACACGTACACACACACACACACACACCTTGTCAAGCACAAGACGAAGCTTGAAAAAGTTTAATGGTATGCCAATAGGCTAGTCCCAGAACTAAGAGGCATGAGTTACGAGGACAGGCTGCGAGAAATGCACCTCATGACACTGGAAGACAGAAGAGTAAGGGGAGACATGATCACTACCTACAAAATTCTCAAAGCAATTGATAGGGTACATAAAGATAAACTGTTTAACACGGGTGGTAGGCGAACAAGGGGACACAGGTGGAAACTTAGTACCCAAATGAGCCACTGGGATGTTAGAAAGAACTTTTTCAGTGTCAGAGTAGTTAATAGATGGAATGCATTAGGCAGTGATGTGGTGGAGGCTGACTCCATACACAGTTTCAAATGCAGATATGATAGAGCCCAGTAGGCTCAGGAATCTGTACATCAGTTGATTGCCAGTTGAGAGGTGGGACCAAAGAGCCAGAGCTCAACCCCCGCAACCACAACTAGGTGAGTATACACACAAACACACACACGCGCACACACACGTACACACACACACGTACACACACACACGTACACACGTACACACACACAAACATACACACACTAATGCCTCTATTCACCTTGCAGTAAATAGGAACCTGAAAGTCAGGAAGCTGCTAAAGGCTGCATCTTGGGGATGTGTGTGTGTGTTAGATAAAAAGATATGTTGTTTAGATATGATGGAGGAAAAGAGGCCGAGAGTCGGTACATTAGACAACCGACGCTTAGAAAGGCGGGATCCAAGAGCTAACAGCTAAATCTTGGAAATAATAAATTAAAATATTTAATACACATACATGTTTCACATGAATTTGGCTGAGGGCACACTGAGGGCTGGTGGCCCCGTCGACGGGGCAGGAAGTCGGCGGTTGATCAAAGGCCTCCCACATCCTCCACATACCTGAGGATTATTCCGGCTAAATTTTAAACGGAAGTAATGTCTTGCTATTTACGGCTTCATCGGGTGGGTGGGTCCGTGGGTTTATTACACTATGAGTAAAAACAATCGCCTGTTCTCAATTTTATATTGCCACTTGTAGAGCTAGAAGCTGTTGCCTCTTGTGTGCGTTGCACAAGGGGATTAATATCTTTGAATATTTCCAGTATTTTTTAAGGTATCGCTTAAATACCGAAGATACTGCTATTGGACACCGCTTAATTGACAATGTCTCAACAACGCAGGCTGAAGATGTGCGTGGCTCCTGCTATTGCAATGATGCTCATTTGCTTTTCAATGATGCGCCTTAGTTGTCCCCTCTCTAACTTACCGTTCTAAATACCCCTTCTCCATCTTTCGCAAACATTCCTCCCCTCATACATCTCCCCCCTTTCCTCCTGTCCATCTTTGTCCCCCTGTCCCTCACTTTGTCCCCTTGCCCACATTTTCTGTCCTCTGTCCTCGATCTCTTTCCCCCTGTCCCCATGTCCCCCCTTTCCATCTCTCTGTCCCCCTGTCCCTCTCTATCCCATTGTCCCTCTCTCTGTTCCCCTGTCTCTCTCTGTCCCCCTGTTCCTCTCTGTCCTCCTGTTCCTCTCTCTGTCCCCCTGTCACTCTCTGTCCCCCTGTTCCTCTATGTCCCTCTCTATCCCATTGTCTCTCTCTCTGTTCCCCTGTCTCTCTCTGTCCATCTCTGTCCCCCTGTCCTTCTCTCTGTCCCCTGTACCTCTCTGTCCCCCTGCCCACTCTTTCTGTCCGCTGTCCTTCATCTGTCCTCCTCCCTTTCCTCCAGGCCCCCTATCCATCTCTGCCCCCTTGTCCTGTCTCTGTTCCCCTGTCCCTATCTCTGCCCCCTGCCCTCTCTCTGTCTGTCCCCCTGTCCGCCCTTTCTGCCCCCCTGTTCCTGTCTTTCTCTGTCTGTCCCTGTCCCTCCCTCTGTGCCCCTGCCCACTCTTTCTATCCCCTGTCTCTCCTCTGTCCCCTCTCTCTTGGTCTCCTGCCCCCCTCTCCTCCCTCTGTCCCGCGGTCTCCCTCTCTGACCCTGTCCCTCTGTCTCTGTCCCTCTGTCTCTGTCCCTGTCTCCCTCTCTGTCCCACTGCCCCCCCCCCTCTGTTCCCCCGTCCCTCCTCTGGCCCTGTTCGTCTGTCCCTGTACCTCTGTCTCTGCCTCTCCTCGTTTCTGCCATTCTCTGTGTCAGCCTATCTCTCTGTCTCTTGCCTCGCTCTATCTCTGTCATTCTCTCACTGACTTTGCATATCCTTATCTATCCGTCTCTGTATCTAACATTCTCTCCCTGACTCTGTCTATATCTATTTCTCTGTCTCGGTCTTCATCTCTTTCTCTCCTCTCTCTCTC